TAGCGTTGCAAATATGAACATCTGGTCTCGTATCGGCAGGAAACATAATTTTACAATTGTAAGAGATATCTGAGAAATCAATTGGACAAGCTTATCGTCGCTTGGTTACAAATTAATCAAAATTAATCGCGGTACCAAAGGATCAAATGTGATCAAGAGAATCGCCTTGATGAGGTCAGTGCTGTTTTTCGGGTAAACAAGAGCACGTGGGTTTCCCCTCGAAGGGGAAACAACGGAGAAGGAGTGGGGTCGATTGAATCGTGATCCGTTATAATTAGATCACGATGCTATTTATATAAGTGCACAAACTTGAAAGTTCAATTAAAGAAACATAGAACTGTCAGGGGTCTTGTTCCTTACGCAAACGGTTCTATAACGTTCATTTTGAAATTTGATCTGTAGACCAACGAAATCGGAAACGGCAAAGCGATCTGTATCAACGCGAGGAACAAAGGTAGATCGTTCGAATATTATAAGTAAAGCGTAACGGGATCAGATATAATAACGACGCATAGCGTTGCAAGGAGAATATGAAAAGCAGCGTGAAACGAAAAGTTGTCGGTTCCGGTTGCGCCAGCGGGAAACTCGGATTAACAAGGTCAGAACTGTAGGAGCGGCGAAGTGGAAACTGGAAACTGAGCTACGGTAATAGTTTATGCGTTCGAGTTGGAATCGAGAATTGGATCAACAGAATCAACACTGAATCTGGATTACTGCAACACGAATGAGAGGAACATTAAACCGTCCGAGAAATGCAAAATTGCAACTGTTGGTATCGCTGGAATGGATCGACGATCAAGATCTTCGAGTTTCGCGTTTATTGATCCGAAGACAGCGATAGTCAGCGTCGAAACTCATTAACTTCGAGTGGAATCATAATAAATATTAACCCTTTGCGGATCAAGATTCTTTGAAATGTACAAAGGCTTCAGCAGATGAAGCTGAATTACCTATCAATTGCTTAATTAATATAAAAAAAGGAAACTACGTGCTGGTCTCTCGCTGTTCGAGCAAGCAAATCATTCGGCCACGACTTACTCTTCCAAATACGAAAATTTCATTTCGCCGAAATGTCGACTTTCGTCCGCAAAGGGTTAATACGCTATAGTTTTCAGCGTCCCTTGATATCACGGAAAATTATTCTGCGCATCTCGTATGCGATCCGGACGACGAAACAAATTGCATGCGAATGAGTAGCCTCGAATTAATTCCGAGAATGTGAACCTGATTAAACCAAAACCTGAATATTATGACTGAACCGGGTACAATATCCCCATAATCAGGAATCTCACTCCCGGTGTGCTCCACGTGCAGACAAGTAAGTCGTCGAAAAATATTTTTAAACGTCTCCTCGGCGGATGCGTGATTCCAAGACAACGATTCGAAGGATTAATCAATATGTAACGATGGGTGGCGCCGTAGCCATCGACAAATTCTGTAACACTTCGTTCTCGCTTAAACAACAGGTGTTCCTGCGGATAGTTCCAATTAACTGTACGAAAAATGTCTATTACCCCTACGAATACACTGTTAATTCCATTAGCAACTCTGCATTTTCTAAGGTTCGACAAGGCAGACACGTATCTATTAGAATGAAAATAAAAAGGAAACCAGAACAAAAACGCTAGTTACCGATAACAATACAAGGACAACGTTACGCGCCGCCTCGAAACAGCAGAAAAAAGTAGACAATAAACTTAGGAACGTCGAAATAACGACGGTTTACGGTTCGAAGGGCTCACCCCACAAGATGGCGGACACGCGGAAAAAATCCGCCATTTTCCCAGGGACAAGCGGGAGCCCGTCACGCGTCGCCGGGGAAACGTGACGAAACGTCGCGGGACCAATTCTCTCGCAAGACTCCCTTTTCGAGTTATTTATCCTTGCCCGGATATCGAATGTTGCACACGCAACCAGTTTATCGGTACGCGGCCTGAAAGCAATAATGAGAGAGAAAGGAATTCTTTCTGTTCTCGGCGCGCCGCGGTCGAAACAGAAAAAAGAATTATTCCGCGGCACGTGGCCGGTGGTGCGCACGACCCACTAGAATAACAATTGCAAGTCGTATTTTACATGCTCCCGGTTTTTATCGGAAAAGTGATAACGCCGATAGAGAAGAACGTACTGCGATCCTACGAAAGGGAACAGATCGCTAAGGCACGCCGTTTCTTTTGTTATTCGATTACACAATGGACGCAATCAAAGGATTAACGATCGACGCGCGCCGAGGCCGATCCGTTCGCCTTTAGATCCGCGAAGATCCAGGATGATGGATCGATTCATTTCGTCTCACATGTTTATGTTTACGCTATTTCACGTTGCCACAACTTCGTTACAACTATGGTACAGAGAACAGAAATATTGTAGGTTCAATTGAATTTCTTTATGAAAATAAGAATCATTTTAGCCGCGATACGGCAGATTTGTGAAGTAAATTAGCAAAATCGTGTTTCTCGCGGAGCGAGCGCGAGTCCGACTCATTTTGATTTAAAGGGTTAAGTAACGATGACGCGGAAACATCGAGCGTCGATTGATAATAAACATTTGAATTAAGTAACAGTTCTCCTAGTACTAGCTTATATAGTAGATGCGAATCTTATCGACTCGCGTTTCATTGAAGCGGGTGCTACTATTCCGTTACAGATGTTTAATGTTCGAAGCAATTTTTTGATTATCGAATTATCAATCATTAGACTAGAAGATAGAAATTAGAATGAACGCAACAGTGAATCAACGAAAACGTGGTCGTTTCATCTACGCAAAATTTGGAGATCAAGGAATTATCGTTGCATTGTGTCGACCAATAATATCGCCGACAATCTTTCGAAACATTGTACTGCCGATATTAATTGATTTCTCAACCTCGTTAACGAACGATGCGACTCGGCGTATAAATCGCCTCCGATGACATTGAACGTCGAAAGAAAAACACAATTGACGGTAACGACGGAACGACAATCGGTCTAATTCGCAGGAAGATAATAAATTACGGATCACCGACGGAATAGCGCGAAACGACGAGGAGTGAAACGAAACGCCATGTCGTCCCGTTGATCCTAAACGTTAATCATAGCGAGTGTTTTCTCTTCCGCCGCTGCATCCGTTCTCGCAACGCTGTTCCCCGTAAAAATGGCTGATGACAGTCGATTCGTAAACTGCCACATTGATTCCCGGCACTTTCACTGGGATTAACGAAAAGTGGAATCGTGTTCTGTCACGTTTCATTATCGTCCCGCGCGTTTGTTCATAGAAAAGCACGCAACGTTTCCTACCGCGAAACACTGACAAATTGCAGACTTTTAAAACCGACGTTAATAAACGGCGGAGAATATGTTCTACGTCGTCGGCGAAAAGATAACCCTCGTGGAATAACGATAAAGGAAATATTCAGCATTGGAACACCTGTACCTGCATACGCGCGCGTGTGGTGCAAGTTCATCACCTACACCAGGGAACATTGCAAAAGCAACCCTCTACCTTTCCCTTGACTAACAACTATCTTCCACAATTCTACCGTTCACGCACACGCACGCGTACATTTCCGTGCGCTCGTCTGTAATACCATCACTCGTCGGTCAGAACGTTGAAACGGAAAAAAGGAAAACAAACGGAACACAAATACAGACGACCGGCGATCGAATCTCCCGGAAAAAACCGTGAGATAACGAAGACACACGGAAAAGAGCGTTACCGATTTTTACGAAAATAAGCGTTAAACGTTCGTCGCGACCGGACCGCGGATATTTCTTCGTAATTTCGTTTTCTCGATGAAGTGTCTCGGATGAAATGAGATATTGCTTCCTGTCTGAATAATCGATTAAAAGGAACGATATTCCGTGAAAGTTTCCGTCTTAATCGCGACGGAGGATCGGTATTGGGTACGGGCATGCAAGAATCTTGCGGTCTATCAGTTACAAACGATGACCGTGAATTTCTAAAATGAAAAATAATCGTGCAGCACAGACGAGTATTCGGATCGCATGATTTTTGCGACGGGTAGAAGCACAACCGCGGATGATCCGGTAAAAATCGGCTTACCTGATTCTGTCGATACGTGTCAAAAGGAAAACCAGCCGCGAGGGGAACGTCTCACGTACGAGGACACTTTGTCCAGACAGGATGGACATACGTAACTGAATCGGAAGTAGGTCGACACCGTAGAACCGGTCGCACCGGAGTACGATCGCAAACTAATAATGTGCTCTAATATAACGATGCTCGCTTCCACCTGTCCGCTAGCTAATAAACTTCAATCACCTCCCACCATGATTATAAAGCGACCGCGTTAACGCTTGAAAAACTTCGGGTTCTCTGCCTGGGGGAAAGAAGTCTCTGTGTCATTCGGACGTGAGTACATAAACAACTGATGTTGTTTTGTTTCCCTTTCGCCTTGGTGAACATCGGTTCACCGTGTACTTGGCGAAGCCGGATACTAACCGGGGGAACTTAACACTTCATCTGTCGACGGTTGTCTCGCTGACATTTAAAAATCAACGGTTAACAGCCGAGGATTTTTTAATCGACTTTGTCAACGTGGTAAATTGGAATTCATGAGTCGACGAGTCGTCTGATCCTTTCTCTGGGGATTATTATGCGAAAGAAGATTATCAAGATTCTGTTTCATGTAATGTAACAGTTGAGAAGAGCGTTAATAGGTTTCCGGTAGGTGAAGTGTTAATAGACTAATTTCGATTTGATTAGAATGTTGAGATCGTTATTACATTGTTGGCAACTGTTTTCAGAAGTATTGTTATTATATTTGGGAAATTATCCCATTTTAGAAGTTTTGAAAGAGAAATATGGTAGAAATATGAAACAGTGAATTGTATTATTGTATGGATAAGATGCTTTGTCATGTGACATTTGTTAAATGGATGTATTTAATATCTATAAATATACTATATTGAATAAATTATTTGGTTTGCGAAAATATGTCTGATAGGAGATGGTTTCTGTGAAGAAAGAGAAGAAAAAACAACTATCCATCGTAATTACTTGCTTAACTTATTCGTCTTTTCAGTTATTTATTCCTCTTCGATAAGAGGAGATCTTCGTACACTTGTATCGTGGATCAGTTCTAAGAAATTTGTATGCATAGAACTGGTCCTAGATTGTAGTTTTAGCTATTAAAATATTTAGTATAAACTAACTAAAATTAATAATATCACTTTACATACATTCAGTACATTAAGTTCTTTCCGTGGATCTTTGATATGTTTCTGGATTTGTTGCACAGCCTGGACACGTGTGTAAAGATTCGTGAATAAATATCTCACAGTCTATACAAAATGTTTGGGTACATTTGCCGCAAATGTATATCTGTGGACGTAGATTTAAACAGAATTACACGTATACATCTTTTGTCTATTATATTACATGTACCATACCTTTTTATCTTTTTGGGATAAAGTTTTTTGGCAACCATAACAAATCGAAGGAGTTCCTTCGTATCCTACTTCTTTAAATGGCTCAACAGGGAATAAATAATGGTAAGATCGAGCTAAATGTGGAGCAGACACTAAAGTGAGTCCACAGGCTCTACATTCTACAGGAAGTTCACAATGTTTACTAAGGCACTGTGGACACAGATATCCTGTACTCGTAAGTTTTACAGTTTCATCTGCGCTTACTGCATGACTGTAGGAAAATGTATCGTTTCCATTAGACAGTTAAAAATGCATGATCATATGTGGAACAGATGAAAGAAATTTACCACATGCATACTGCCATGGATGTATCAGTTGCAGAAGACTGTAAAGCGTGATGAGGAAAACCCATTTTAACAAGAGCAGCATCCAATCTGGTTGCAGCTGGTGGTGGATCTATATGCATGTTCAACTGCTCTTTAAAGTGTTTATCGTCTAATGCAACACCATGTTCTCCACCAGTTGCCGTAGCCATTCTTTTGCAAATATATAATTCAGCAGCTAATCCTATTACGCTACATCTTATACAATCTGTTTTCATGTTCTAAAATTGTAGTATATTATTATGGAAATAATGGGCACAATTCTTGTAACATACACAATAACACGTACTTGTATCGTTTCATTTATATCTCCTGGGTCACATGTTGTAAGAGCTCCTATAATTACTAATACTTCTTTACTAGCATGCGATGGTAGAAGCCGTAAAGATTTTAAAGCTAATTCTAAGGAATTCTGTAACGATGGTTCACCTGCTGGTTGAATTTGTTGCAGAGCTTTTAATTCCTAAAAGAAAGAACATAATGTGTTTAAGACATGAAATTAGAAATTGATTATGGTTTAAAAATAGATGTACCTTAATATGCTTTTTAGAGTTCCCAGCTAAATCACTAATTTTCTCTGCTCTTTTATTTCTTGTAAGAATTACTCCTAACTGACTTATAGGATTTTGATAAAAGAATTCATCGATAAAATGTTCTAGGAGCTTGAACCACAAGATAGTAATAAATAACATAAAATAATATAATAAACAAAAATTGTTATATTATTGAATATATACCTTTAAGCAACATAAGAAACGAGTTGGCTTCAGATCTTGATTAGACATTGATTCAGAAGCATCAAGAATTATATAAAGATGCCTCATCATACCTAATCTGGCACCAACCTTCCTGTCCAACTGACGCTTCCTTTTAGCATTATGAATAATATCTGCAACCGAGGCTTCCAAAAGTCCATGATCATCTTCTTTAATTGCTTCCCTTAATTCATAATTATATCTATTAATTACAGAATTATAGGAATCACGTACATAAAGAATATTTCAATAAAGAAATAATACCATGTTTTTTCATAACCAGTCTCCCACCGATATTCCTTCTCCTCTTCATCATCAGCCATTTTTCAATGTTTAAAATGGAACTATAACAAAACATAAAATTTGTTTAATTTAAAAATCACACCTTAGTCATATAGTCATAGGTACATTTAAAAGTTTGTTTACTTAGACAGTTATGTATAAGCTAAGTCTCATGAACTAGGTTAATGTTGTTTATACTACTAGTGACATAAAAAACAATGGGTTAAAATCGCGATTGAAGGTAATAATAATAAAGCCTTTTCATATTTTCAAACGAATAACATGAAGAAATAATATTTACAAAAGGAATTACGCGAAAGAGAGGCATTAATTCATATTAATGTATGCGTACATCGAATGAATAACTTTTCCCCGTGCGTTCGGTCAATACGAAGAACCTATTATTTGAAATTTCTCCTCATAAATCAGAGGAATCGCATCGTCGATAAAGGTAAAGTGTGCGCGTACGAAACGCGAGTAACAGCTAAAGGAAAGAACAATTAATCATACACAATTCATAAATCTGCGCGCAATAACCAATGACTATTTGCGAAATCGTCTTGACATTAATTAACATAAACTTGCCTTTTCTATACTCGATACAGTGCCGGAACATAGAAGAACTTGATGAATTAAAGCGGCAGATTCGAAATCAATAAAGGGGTGTACGAGATTCAGCCACTTTTCAAACGGAATTTTTCAATGTATTTCGACGGGGATCATCTCAAATATAATAGTCCGATCGCAAGAAATAGCTCTGTAGAAAAAGTAACGTCGTAAAGAAAGGGGAAAGGTAAATTTTCCAGTAATATTTTCCCGCCAAAAGGTAAGCTGTTGCCGCGGCGGGCAGGCGCCATGGCGCCACCATCGTCAGACGCGATCACTGTTTTCATCCCATCTCGTGCGGCGACGGCAATTTTCCAGATCAAGGAAGTCTGATTTTTCCACGGTATACCGGGCGTAAGTGAATATCATTGGTTTTATTGTTGGTTCCATAGAAATCAGTATCGGACAGGTGTGTTCGAAAAATATTCATGGGTGGACAGGAAGTGAATAGTCGGGGAGAGTTTTCGTGACGAGAGCCATCTTGACGAGCATCGGCTTGCTCATGATAGACGGAGGACGAGTCTGCGGCGGCGACCACGGCGACGGCGGCAATGGCATCGTTTCTAAATGTTTCTTTCAATTCTAAACGGCCGTGTTATCTGCAGTTAGAATAGTCACGTTGTATCGGTAACGTTCTTTCACGGGTGAGCCGGCTACTATTTCAAGATCGAATCTGTGAGTTTTATTCGTTGGTAACTTACGCCACTGGCCGCGTTTACAATGACTCCATGCTGTGATCCGATGTCTTACCATTTATGCGGGAATTTGTTTAGTTTAAATAAAAAGTATTGCTGCGTGAGGCTCGTGATAGCTTGCAGGATCATAAACGCTTCGTAAAATTACCGATGGTAGCGGTGTGTGTGAGTGCAGTGAACCTCCGTATCGCCGTAACAACGTCAGTAGTGTCTTATTAAAAAATGTTCGCAGTTCGATTTCCACCGGCATGTTGCGTGTAAATTTTTCCAAGACCCGCGAAACTTTGAACTCCGAATCATGAAATTTTTATTCTGTTCGCCTGTGCTGTGGCATAATAACAATATTAACGGTTTATCGTATCAATTATTCATAGAGACGAGTATTTTTTTATTTAATTCGCCTATGTATTTACTCGGGAAGCAAATATTAACAGGATTCGCTGGTGCACTGCTTGACTTGTAAATATTAATTAAAGGATGTTTCATATTACACAGTGAAAGTTAAACGTTAGACTTTATTGCTTTTAAGAATTTCTCTTTGATTGCTCTTTGTGTATCATGGATTATATCCATAAATTATATCCATGATGCAGTTCTTTTGATGGAAGTTTTAATTTCTTTGTGTTGACGAATTATGATGTGATCAAAGTGAAATTAAATAGTGAATTTTAATTTTATGTTACTGCATTTGGTTAATTTTGAAATTATTTATTTAAAAGTCACAATAATGCAGTGTTAATTTGGTTCATTATGTAATATATGTAGGTTTTTTTGTACTTGGGATTAAAAAACAATTTTAATTTTTAGAAAGCAACGTTGTGGATAGAGACTCAAATATCTTATTAAGCAAAATGGAGGGAGGCGATGGCCCTTCGGCCATCAGTAGTAATCCTACTGCTATTAAAGGTAACATCTATATTTTTTTTTAGACGTAAGATTGTTATTTGCATCATTTACCTTTGTTTATCACTTAGATATATTTGCATATAAGAAAAAGATAAAAATTGTTTCACTGGTATAAATGTATATACTTAATACAAAACATACCATAGAATTCTAGTAACTATTACACTTTGAAACTTGTATAAATACATACTTTTGTACAGTTTCAGAGAGTTACCTAACAGACTTTTTGAATTAATAAGTCGGTAGCCATTGGTACATAAATATGAGGAACCTGACATACCGATTTTTTGTGACATATATGAATACAAGAAGAAATTTTGTGACTATAAAGTGAATAATTATTTTTAACATTTTTAATATACTTTCATTATGTTACCAGCTGCACAAGAAGAAATGGGAAGGTTAGATGTTCTAGTATGTGGACAGTGTCATTCAGTCTTTCACTTCATTGAAGAGTTTCAAAAACATCGTACAAAAGATGGCGCTTGTACTCAAGTATCACACTTTCGTGAAAATAGTAATGTTAGTACTGCTTATTACATATCATATATCATTATATAGTGTTAGCAAATAATCTGTATGTAATAGTTTTATTCAATTTTCTGATAAATTTTTATAGAATGAACAAAAAGCACAAGTGTGGGCTTTCCTTTTATGGAAAGATTCACAAATTCAGCAAGAAGGTCCGGATAGAGATTCTACAAATTCATGGAAACTATATCAAAAGTGGTGCAAAATGGATACGCACATTAGAGATTCCTGGATTGCAGCTGGGAAAACCATTCAAACTTTTACAAAAATCAGTAATGCCAAAATGCAAGATGCACCAAGGCAAAATCAAACAACCAATGCAGAAGGTAGATTGTATACTAAAGACTAACTTTATTAGGACATTTTATAAAGAAAATATTCTAAAATTCAGTCTGTACTTTTCTAGGGAAGCCGGTGGTTGTCCGTAAAGTTATCAGAAATGGACAACCAGAAGACACAGATAAGAAGGATGTTAAAGGTTCAGAAGCAAAGAATCAAAAAGGTGAATTCTTTGACATCGAAGGAGATAAGAAGGAAAAACCAAAGTTGAAACCTTCCATAAAACCTAAGGTTGGCTTATTACATTCAGTTAATCAATTAATTTACATTCTTCTCATTAATAATAAATTTAATTTATTTATTCTCGTAGGGTAAATCTAGTAAAGCTGGTGAAGAAGATAGGGACACAACGGATGAAGAATATACAGTAGAAAAAATCTTAGCTAAACGATTTAATCCAAAAAAGAGATGTTCGGAATACTTATTAAAATGGGAAGGATATGGGCAGTAAGTTAAATTTAAGAAGAACTCCCTATATTTAGAATGAATAATTGCAGTAATTTTTATTAATTGGGAAATATTTTAAGCGAGCACAATACATGGGAGCCTGCTGAGCATGTAGCAACGTGTAAACATTTATTAGAAGAATTTGAAAGAAACCTCGCAAAGCAAAAAGAACTGAAAGCGGCTCAGCAACAAGCTAATGCAAAGGCAGCAGCGCGAGGTGGTGGGCATCCTCAAAAAACAGTCATAAAAGCGGAAGCTAAACCTGGGCCCAGTACTGCAGCTCAAGTGGGGTAAGATGCCATTTTACCTATCACACAATGAACAAATTTCAAAAAATATATGCTTTCATAATGAAACATGTCTTCAGGAGACCAATGCGCTCGAGTAAATCAAAAGCTATGGATCAAGTGAAACAATGGTGCGGTTCAATGAAAGATGAAGATAATGATTGTACGTGTACATTTATCATAAGACGTATCTTACTTAGTAAACGTGGGCGACATTTGTGAGAAAAAAAAAATATTAAAAATTTGTACATCTTTTAGTATTAGGTAAGAGAAGAATAGACTATTCCGAGAGCGATTCTGAGGACGGAGGCAGTAGCGCTGCGAAACGAGCAAAAGGTGACACGGGTAGTGACGAAGATTGGACTGGAGAATCCGAGGAGGAGAGACTGTTGGGTCGAAGTGATGTGATTCAACGGGCGTTTAATCGTGCCAACGCTCAGTCGAACGGGTCTAACCGGGCAAGCGGTTCGTCAACAGATCTTGCGACTTCGCTGGGATTACAATCCCCCGAAGGAGCAAAATCTAACCAACCGCCGGTCTTGGTTGCTAACGCGAAAGGAGTTGTTAAAGTGGACCCCAAGCAAATGCCGAACTTAACGTCTGGCGTATACGTCATGTCACGGAAAGATGGCATCATCAAGTTGGACTCGTCGCCGAGTGGAAAATTAGCCGTAAAAGGTTCGCCGACTACACAAGGTGTATTGATGGTTCAAAATCGAGATAATACTAACGTAGTGAGAAAGCAAGTAATATCCGCCTCGCAGTCGAACTCCGTGACACCGGTCAAAGTGGTATCTAAAATGGATGGAAGTCAAGTAGTAACGCAAATGAAAGTAGTTTCTAAGCCAGTTGCGAGTAAAGCAGGAGGTACACAGAAAACAGAGCCTATAAAGATCCAGCCGAAACCAGATCCGACACAGTTACCGCAGATACATGTCGTGACCGCGGTGCCGGCTCCTATAACTTTACAGCCAAGAATAAGTACAGGAATACGTCCTGGACCTGTTACAGGCCAACGCAGTGCGGACGGTCGGCCTTTGTTACCGAGACCCCCGCTGCGTGCGACGACACCGACTAGCGTACTCGGAATCGGATCCACGATTCGCACACCTGTTAGGGCGCCAGCCCCGAGACAAGTTCAGTCGCAGCAAACACGTCAGGTGCTACAAAAACGAACGACAGCAGTAACTACGCAAAGTAACTCGGTGAGTCCTGGTAATGTTACCCAGATCAGACCGAAGTTCACGGTGCTTAGTCCGCAGCCGAAGCAAGTGGTAAAGTCTGGAACTAGTCCAGTGCAACAGGTGAAACAATCACCGAAAACACCAGTCGGTAAGCCACAGTCATTATTATCTCCGCAGCAAAAGTTGTTAATGGCAAAGAGGAAAGCTCAGGAAGCAGCGGGCATCATTAAATCAGGTGGCCGTGGCCTCCTGGCAGCAGCTCGTGCTACCGTCGGACGGGGTAGAGGGAAGTTGGCTGAGACACCATCGGCGACAGCTCCAGGAAACAAACCGAAAGAGAGTAAACTTGCTGAAGGCGATGGTCTTCACATGGAATTCCACGAGGTTGGTTCTGAAGAAAGTAGCAGCGAGGGTGAACCGGAACTTCCACCGCCGGAAGCGGATTCCATAACCACCACGGAACCGGATAGTCCGCCTCGGCCGTTCACGCTGTGCCCGTTAACGGGACGTATCATCGGTCCGGACGGTGAACCTGTTGAACAGCCAGCCGAACCGGAACCCGAGCCGGAGCCTACGACACCATTGTCAACTGTCAAAACGCCTACCACTACATCGGACAATATTGGCGACTCCGCTACAACCACGACTACAGAGTTGGTTCTACCTTCACTCGATTCTCTCACGGAGGGTGGTGGTATAATGAGAGTCGAAATGAGTCCTGGCGGAACAACAGGCACCATCGTTCAGACAAGTGAGCCTGCACAAATCAACTTGTCGAACGTGACCGTACCTGCTCCGGACCTTCCCTGCTTGGACGACACTGCTCCAGCTGTAGCGGTACCAGCCACGACTGCATCGACGCCATTAACCGAGACAACATCCACCCCCGAAGCTTCGATCGCGGCTGAACTCTCTACGGCCACGGTGACTTCTACTAGCACAATCGCTATTGCTTCTACCGATGTCACCAAGACCGAAGAGAAGATCACCGAGGAGAGGAAGGTGACGGAAGACACGTCGAATTTGGTAACGATAACTGGCGAGGACGGTGTTGTTTATCAAGTGACTGGTCAAGCCGAGGACGGTCAAACATTACTGGTGACACGAGAGGCTGACGGTGAGCAGCAGTGCGTGTATGTTACCACGGAACAGCAAGGAGACGGCGGGTCCGTGCTAACGTTGGACCACGCTGTCGCGGAGGCTGTCGCTCAGCTGATACCCGACCAGGTGAACCTGGCCTCGCAATTTTACGTGAAGGAGGGTACTTCGGAACCCACCGAAAACCCGATGGTGATGTCCATCATGGATAACACCAGTACCACGGACGTCACCGAGGGACAGGAAGATGGCGACGGTCATGGACAAGTTGTAGCTCAAGTTGTGCAAGCGGAAGAACCTACACCAGGTAAAGTGATGGTTTTAATAGACTCTGTTGCGACCGTGGAAGGCAGAACATCTGAACTCTTTTGAAACATTTATGCGAGTCAGTCAATAAGTAATAAGAGATCTGTTTGATATTCAAATTAACGTTATTTGCATGATGAATGTAAAAGACGAATGATCCACGTGAACGTCTTAAAATTTACCGTACAATAATGCTGTCTATCAACAACCAGGTATCTCTGTTAAAATTGAAATTTGAGAGTGTAACTTATTGATTGATCCTCATAAAAGCAACGCGATACATTTCATTGTATTTTACAGACAATATTCGGATGTTCTATTTTTAGTAATTCACTTTGCACATGAGATGGAATTTTTTTCCTTTTTTTGTTCCTTGTGTAAGATGCATGATATTAATATCACGTTTCTGTTGTGTCATAAAATTAGGTGGCACCAGAAGAGTAGTTCTGCTTCTGCCGGATGGAAATCTGATGATGACGGAAGTGACGGAAGAACAGTATGCAGCACTAGGACTGGGCAAGTGAAGAAAAAGTAATTGAAGTACGCGGATTGTAATAAACGATCATGCATCGAACTCTATAACAATTTACATGGAAGTTGTACGCTTAAGGGTGATCGTGGGTTGTATATATGTAAGAACGTTCACTTCGTACAATTGCAATGGATAAAATTATATATTGAGATTTTCCAGCTAACAAAATAAAGCAAAACGAAACGAAACAGACGCAAAATGTGAAATGTAAAACATAGCTGGTGTATTGT